AAATTTATAATCTACACAGAGATTCGTCCAATTAATGGAAAAATAATAAATGCTAACTGAAAAGCGAATTAAATCAAAATATATTTTTGAGCATATTCGTTTTACTTTATCGATGATGAACGAACAATTTAAAAATGATCAATTTTCCTGTCTATTATAATTGTTCTCTTTTTAGTTTAATTTTTTAAATGCATTTGAAAGAATTACGATATTTCAAAAAAATTCATTACGATTAATAGATACTGACTATCATAATTAATAACAAAATCTCTTTGACTGTATTTACAAGTTCTGATGATTCGTTTATATACATACATATGTATAAATAGAAAGATAATTAAAAAACGATAAAAGAAAACTTCCAACCAAAACACATTACATTAATCATCGAAATATTTTTGACTGAATGTCCATTTTTAAGCATTTTAGAATAGTTCCGCTGGCTATCCACGTATTCGAGATTGTTTTTATGAGATAGTAGGGCAAATAATGCTTTCCACCTCAAGATTCATAATATCGATGTATTGTATCGCGTTTATACGCTAGTAGTTATACGAACTATTAATACTCACAAGAAAATACGATCTTTCCATTGCCACTTTTAAGTGAACTCTTTTCACGCTTTGTTTCAGTAACGCCTCACATTTCGAAACATATAAGCGTTGAGGTTTATTAATTTCCACCGCCCTATTTTCAAGAATACGAGAACGATTGTCGAGATGTATTTCTTTCCTCTCTCTCTCTCTCACTCTATATATATAGATATAAGAATTAAGTTCTAATAAACTAAACTAGTTTATTAATGTAAGAAAGTAAATCTTATTTTATAATACTAATTGAATGAACTAATCTAAGAATAAAATCTAATGAAAATTTTGTTACAATTCCATCCGACTGAACAAAGTCATTGTGGTGTGATTAGCAAAAGCTAACGTCTTACGGTCTTTGAACTTGATAACATTCTTCGGAAAGTCGACTAAAATTAATTAAGTCTCGCATGAAATTATCGGCCAAAAGATAACTTAAGAAAGTTGGCGCAAGATTAATACTGATGACTTTTTACTGTACCACCGTAGTTCAGCAACAAGTTATGTTGAGTTTGTTCTTTGTGCCCGCGATTTCGTGGCTCAAACAAGAAACCAAAACTATAGTTAGGAAAGAACTGATCTTTCGAAGAGAAAAAAAAAAAGAAAGGAAACAATAGTAGAAACAAAATTTCCGTCAAATTAACTCAAAAGACTTTCTCCCTTTGACCAGTTTTGTTCCTCTAATCCAAGAAGCCGATCGTCCCGCACGTAGGAACCGTATAATTACTTTCGTGAGCATCTCCATCCTCTTTCTTCGCTTGTATCTTTCGAAGAAAGTCTAGTGAGCATCATCAGAGCACACAAACTACTTCTCGAGTCTCTCTCTCTCTCTCTCTCTCTCTCTCTCTCTCTCTCTGTCTTTCCTCCTCAAACGCGTATACACATACACATACTCTTTGATCATGCTATGGCAGAAAGACGGAAGGGTGAGTCGATAGATGAACGAGGACTAGAACGCAGTAGTTGTAATAGTGGTGGTGATGCTGGTGGTGATAGTAGTGGTGTTGGTGGTACGACGTGGCCACCCTCTATATCAAAGGCCCTGGCACTTTGCCACGTCGCACCGCATAATGAAGCAGCACGTTAGGCTTCGACCGTGCCGGCGCCGGCCGTCGTGTTTTGCTTCCCGAAGAATGGTTTATTGTACAGTACGAACCCTTTCTATCGTTCTCTCTCTCTCTCTCTTTCTCTCTCTCTCTCTTTCTCTCTCTCTCTCTTTCTCTCTTTCTCTCTCTCTCTCTCTCTCTTCTCTCTCTCTCTCTCTTTCTCTCTCTCTCCCTCTTTCTCTCTCTCTCTTTTTCTCTTTCTCTTTTTCTCTCTCTATCTCTATCTCTCTCTTTTTTACTCGTGAATTCTACATCTTCGTTTATCTATAGCTTCGTCACCTGCTACAGTTTACCCTTCCTTTTTTCCTTTTTTGGTCTATATGATATACGTGCGTTTAAAACAGCAAACATGTCTTTTCCTTTCTACTCGAACAATTTACATTTTTTTTAACGTAATCAATTGATCATTAATTTAACGTTTATTCGACCACATGTGCGGTTCATTCGTAAATCGTGTTAATAACTCGATTGTATTATTATATTATATATAAAAAGCTAATTGACAGAATTAAATCTTAATTCTACAGTGCATGAATAATGTCAGCAACAAAACGTTGCGCATAATTAGATTTGTTGGAATTCGTATGAAATCATTAATCATTGATATATGTACATCTATAGTGTGGTATGTGTAAATTTGTACGTATACGTACAAATTTATTTACGACCAATCTAATTTGCTATATTTACGAGCAATTAGAGAATCATCATGGTTTAACGATAATAAGAATACTCTTGTCCTATTGTTGTAAATGTATTATTCATGAAACAACTGGTAACCAGTGTTACCATTCCTTCTATCTTTGAAAATTTTAAAATTAATACATACTCTAGAAATTAGTCGATCTAAGTGCAATGGTTCTCAATAGATTCTTCCTCTTTTCAAATATAATTGATTTAATCTATTTGATCGAGGAAGTACCCGTTTCAAAAGAACTCAAACTACGATAGCAATTTTATGCCACCGTAAACTTATTCATGGCAATTTTATTGATGCAATATTTCGTGGGGTTAGCATTATGCGAACAATAGCCTGTTAGGTTAAGATAAGGGGGTAAACTAGTGAGAAGCCAAAGCAGAGAGTGTAAAAGAGAGAAACGAAGAAAGTATGAGAGAAGTGAGAAGAAGCACCTTAATGAATCTAAATCTTACGTCGTGCGAGATTCTACCTCTTACTCCTTCTAAGAGATACGTAGATGAAGAGAAATGAAGATAGAAAGACAGACAGGCGGATTAAACTTGCTCAAATCCTTACTGGTGTGTCTCCGACGATACTCAAAATGCAGACGACGTATTTACTGTCTCCTACGACTTTCCTTTATCTCTCCTTTGACAGTCGTAATTATACATAAGACTTTAGCGTTTGTTCTTAATTCAAAGAAACTGTGATATTGCGTCCTTTCCAACAAAATACTGCTTTACACCGTAATCTTGCTTTTCTTATCGACTTTATCTGCCAAACCAATTCGACAAATGTCGTATTCCAAATTAAAACCAAATGAACAAATTGTTAAAACCTAAAGTAGTAAAAAGATATTTGAAAAAATAGAAGAAAGAAAGAAGAAAAAAAAGACAGGGCAAAGTAAGTCTAATAAATAAATGTTTAGATCAATTATATTTGATGTCCTAGATTCATCATTACGCAGTTGATGTTCAATCAATGAAACCCTATTTATTCGTGTCTACTACACCAACCATCAAGGTGAGGTAAATAGAAAAATATATCGACTTTATTATCTGGACAATAACGTCACGAAAAATTTATAGTGTTATCATTTGTATCATTTGTAGATCTAAAACTGTAATATGAAGTAAATTCAATTTCAATGATGGTTCTCGAGATTTTTCGTTCATTCAAATGGAATTAAATAAAAATCTCGCTTGAGTCATATACGCTAACTTAAGAATCATGATCGTCTATTTACAAATAATCTGCTTAGATAAATTCATTTTTAACGAAATCTCTTATAATAAAAGTTTTATATCTACTTAATACGAAAATATGATCGCTTACTGTTTATTACAAAAATATGGTTTATTTACTTATCTATAGAGGTCGATAAACCATTCTTTCTCGCAGAAGTAGAATAAAATACGGAAGGAAACAGATATAACGGTGATAGATAAATATGGAGAAGCGTATATCGTTATATAGAATTTAATAGGAAAGATAGAATATATTTTGAACCATTTTCTTAGAAATCATCCTTAAGCCTAGCGTCACGATGAACGAGATTTAGTTAGGATGTATTTCGTATGGTACATTTGTATGGGAAAACAAAGAAACTGTATAGTGAGAATGAAAGAACATGAAAGAAAAAGAGAGAAAGAAAGTGATAGAGATACGTTCCGCTCGTACAAACGTAGAAACGAAATTCTCGCTTGTCTACGTATTTCTCTATCCGTGGGTTATATAACCTCTGAACCGAATGTTTCGCGCAGATTACCTGTCAGGATACGTATTTCCCACAGGCGAGAAGATTTTTCCCACGGGAGAGAGAGAAAGAGAGTAAGAAAGAGAGAGAGAAAGAAAGAGAGAGAGAAAGAGAGAGAGAGAGAGAGAGAGAGAGAGAGAGATAGGAAGGGAGGAGCCAGAAAATCTTTCAATGTGGCAGGCAAGTCCTTTTAGAAACTGAGTGCATTATTCTTTGCCGTCAGCATCCTTTTTCACTTTTAATTTCTCGTAAAGGTGAAGATGAGGAAGCGGAAAAAGAGGAGGAAGGATGAAAGTAAATGGGTGCTGGTGAAACAAAATGTAAGGCGCGATAAAAGACTCAACGGGAATGATGGTGCATGGTGACGATATCCCGAACAACCAAGAGACTTCGTTCCATCTCGTATTCTACCTCTGATAAAGAATCTTAATTTGTTTCCAACCTTTTCTTCTTTCTTTAGTCAACTTCCGAGCATGAAAAACGAAAGAGAAAGAGAGAAAGAGAGAAAGAGAGAGAGAGAGAAGTGTCTCCGAATGAGTTTTATATTTCAATCATCTTTCTACGCTGACGGCAAAAATTATATCCTAGAAATTTATAATTATGAATTAATGTTTTACATGGTTTTTTTATTAATTACGAGCAATTATATTTAATAACATATGAAATTCTTCTAGATGCTTCTAATTGTTTCTACGAGGAATAATATTATACTAATCCATACAGAAAGCAAAGTAATTAAATTCGTAAATTTATTCTGTTATTGTGTTTAAAATCACTTATTCAAATTGGAAACATTTTTAAATTATTTCGATAACCTCAACGAATATAGTTCAATGATTATCACGTATTTAAGACGGTACTAAAGTAATTGTAACAGTTCCACGAAAGATATGAGACGCATCATGTCAAGGAAAATTATTATTCTCTTTATTTTCGTCGCGTAAGTTTATTATTTTACTTAATAAATCTAACATCATAAAAATAATGAAAATTTATCAGTTTCATATTATTGCCAATTGGAAAGGAACAAACAAAAAGAATTATTGTTATTTAAAATTTTATTTAACATTAAAATCGTTTATGACTATTTTGAACTTTTTTATTCAACCTATTGAATATTAATTAGATTTGGGAAGAATCTACAAAAGAAGAGAAACAGCACCGCAAATTAAACTTCTTCAAAAATCGGATTTTATTGAAATTTCAGTACGATCGATACGCGATAAAATACTTACTAGTTCGACCAACGAAACTCTAAAGTTTCTTTTCACGCTTCTTCTCTTTCTCTCTCTCTCTCTCTCTCTCTCTCTCTCTCTCTCTCTATATATATATATATATATATATATATATATATATATATCTATTTCTCTTTCTCTCTTTTTTCTCTTTTAGATCCACGCAGGGGAACAACTTGTCGGAGGAGAATGAGGAATACCTGAGGTTCCCACCGAACTTTCTCCTGGGCGCTGCGACTGCAGCATACCAAATCGAAGGAGCTTGGAACGTTAGCGGTAGTTCTTTTAAATTCAAATCTGTCAGTCTGTGACTATATCTTCGAAACTTTTCCAACTTGTCTTTTTTTTTCTTTCTCTTTCTATCTCTTTTGTGATACGAAAACATAGACAAAGGAGAAAGTATTTGGGATCGATTCTCTCACGAAAGAAATGGACTTATCGTCAATAACGATACCGGTGATATCGCCAGTGATTCATATCATAAATTTAGAGAAGATGTATCGCTGTTGAAATATGTCGGGGTAAGTATGAAATATTGTTGTATGATTGAATTACAAATATTATAGATTTTCTTAGTCCAAGATCTCTGAAACACGATTATTATTTTATCATTAAAAGATTAATTTATATTGTACTTAATAGATGAAGGCCTATCGTTTTTCCATAAGCTGGCCACGTATATTGCCAACTGGTTTTTCTAACAACATTAGTAAAGATGGTGTTACTTATTACCATAACCTTATCGATGAATTATTGATTAATAACATTGAACCTATCGTAACACTCTATCACTGGGATCTTCCTCAAGTAATCGAAGATGCTGGAGGATGGTTGAATCCACACGTGGTCGATTGGTTTGTAGACTATGCTAGAGTCGCTTTCAAGGAATTCGCTCCAAAAGTAAAGAAATTCATAACGTTGAACGAACCATCGGATAATTGTATTAACGTTTATACTATGGGAATTCATGCACCCTCTAAATCGTCTTTACGCGGCATTGGAGAATATATTTGTGGAGAGAATATGTTAAAGGCTCATGCTCGTGTTTATCGAATGTATCAGAAAGAATTCAAAGATATTTATAATGGCTTAGTTGGTATCAATGCTCAAGTAAAGAATTTTTATCCAAAGCATGAAAATGATTCAGAATCTGTAGAAATAGCATTTCAATTCTCAATAGGTTGGATGCTTCATCCTATATATTCTGAAACAGGTGATTATCCTAATATAATGAAAAATTTGATAGATATGAAAAGTCAAAAACAAGGTTATTCACGATCTCGATTACTCAAGCTTGGAGATAATTGGGTGGATTATATTCGGTAATTAATCACAATATCGAATGTTAATCAAACATTCAGATTGTAATTGTTTTCATAAATCTCTTCATTCTTTTAGCGGTGCTTCCGATTTTTTGTCAATAAACCATTACACTTCTGCAAGAGTCGAACGGGGAGACGTTGAATTAGAACCTTCATTCTATAATGATCAAGGACTAATAGAAGATCAAGATCCTACTTGGGAAAATAATACTATTCCGTGGCTGAAGGTGAATTTACCTAATTTAATCTAATCACATCCTCATAATCGTACTATATGGAAAAACGTGCATAATTTTATGATACAACTAATAGAATATTTCATTGTTTATAAATAATGTTCAAGTTGGAAATTTAAAATACTCTTACAGATGAATACTAATATATTTTTTACATTTAGACTGTACCAGAAGGATTTGGTTTCATTCTTAGAAAATTAGCAATTGAATATAATAATCCGCTCATGTATATTACGGAAAATGGTGTTTCCAGCGAAAATACCATCGACGATGATGATAGAGTGAGATATTATCAAAAATACTTAAAAGAGATGCTTATTTCCATAAATCGTTATAAAGTTAATATTAAAGGTTATCTCTTATGGTCTTTCATAGACAGTTTCGAATGGACAAGTGGATATAGGTAAATTGAAATCATTAGACTGCAATTTGACTGTTCAAGTTAATAAAACGTAATTTATATAGAAATCTAGATATAACAAAATTGACGGAACTAATTGTTAATTAAATAAATAAAAATATACAAACATGTACACATAAGATAATATATTTTAACAATAATAATATATAATAATATATGATTATATCAATAAAATATATTATCGTGAACATGTCATGATGTCAAACAAAGACAAATTGGTATTAGTTCTACGAGGAAATCCGAAAAAAAGATGAATCACAATCATTCTATTTTGCAGCCAAAATTTTGGAATTGTTCATGTCAATTTCACTGATCCGGAAAGGAAGAGAACGTTGAAAAAATCTGCTTATTGGTGGCGAGAAGTAATAAAATATGGAACCTTGAACATACCCTCCTTTAGAAATGATACCACATCTGGAACGTAAATTTTCATAAAGGAAAATATAGTTTTTAATTATTTATGATTCTTTAGTTATAATTTTTTCAAAGCAATTAAAACAATATCTGTAAAAGTAGCAGTTGCTATTCATGATCATTCAATTCTATAAATATTTTGGTAAAATTTGTTTTATAATGAAACATGAAATGAGACAACTATCTATTCGACATACATTCATATATTTAATACTATATATTATATATTAATACTATATATATTTAATACTATATTATAATACTAAATTCAATTTATAATTTTAAAGTTATCAGGATTAGCAAATAAGAATATGAAATTGCGTTATTTTATGGAAAATTTTGAATTGTCACCTAAATAAATAAACATTTATCAATGCTAAATAGAAATGCGAAAATAAAAAAAGTTTGTGATAATACATTTACATAAATGTACTGTTTATTTGGATGTTCGATATAAATTGCTCAAGATGATAAACAAATGATAAAAGATATAATAGCCCATAAGACATTTAAAGAGAGATTTTTAATTCGGTCGAAATGGACGAGGTTCGACGAATAGAAAATAACGCGCAAGAACATAGACATAACAACAGGAAGTCGAAAAGTGAGATAAAGAAAAGGTGATATGGAAATAGAAATACCTCACGGTAAACATGTCAAAATTTATCAAAATAGATATGTTAAAATATATTTATATTTTTACAGTAAGATAAGATAATAGAATACATAACTACATGTTATAAGCAGACTATTTTTTTTAATACTTATATCTAACTATAGAGTTCTTTGTATAAATTTATTGAAGTGCTAAATAAAGACTAATCATAAAGTTCTTATCAGTTTAATAATTCTTATCAACTAACATAAACTTGTAATATTTTTTCAAAATAAAAATATTAACTGCAATTACTTACATGATAATAGCTCCATACAGAAAAAAACACCTTGATAGATTATTAAACTATTCCGAGTTAATTATTTATGAATATTGTTTTCACTTATAATTATTATTTCTATCAGTATTAATAAAGAACAGTGACTAATTTAAATGTCGTTTATTAAGCTTTCGTTTTTAATTGCAAATTATTTTCAGATATTTTGAAAACTTATGTATCTGCTATCATTATCTTTCTGATAAAATTTTTTTAATTAATTATGATAAATTTTTATTAAAATATCTACAATTATTTGAGATTAATTAAATTAATTTTTAATTCTAGCAAAGTCAATTATAGCATTTTTTTTAAGAAAAGATCTATTATCTTCGATAAGTATAAGATAAATTGACATATTGATAACAGTGAAATATATATAACCTTGGATACAATCAGTCTATAGTACGAAGAGTTATTATTACGTTGTTAACGAACTAATAAACTTTGTAATGGCTATTACTAAATGTTTTTTTCCTTTAAAGACGACAGTATGTATGTTGCTTGTAGCGAAGTATGTACTTATTTTCTATATTCTTAATATATATATATAATTTTTCTATATAATATAAATTAATTACGTTTGTCTTGTTTGTCTATAATTTCAGATCAATGCTGAAACAGACTGAAGCTTTCATGAATATGGAATTCCCTGAAGGATTTCAACTGGGAGTTGCTACTGCATCTTATCAAATTGAAGGAGCCTGGAACACTAATGGTATTATAGAAATGAACATTTTCATATCTAATAAGTAGGCATTCGTGAAAAGATTGACCCAAAGGCCTGGACAACTTAGTGATTTAGAGCAGTTGCCAGGAAAGCGGAAGAAACTACTACTCCGAATTCCATTTTAGACCATCCGAAGACTCAATTTTTTTTCGTGAATCTTACAAACTTGTGCAAGAAAAAGGACTCATTTTCGTGAATCCTAATATTTTTTTTTTAATTTAATCACTACCTATATCATATAATTATAAATCGAATATAGTAAATTCTTTAATGATGCAAATATAAAATGGTAAAAATTAAACAATTAAATTATATGAAATAATTACAGGTAAAGGTGTTAATATATGGGATGTATTTACTCATGACAATAAATCGAAAATAAGGGATCATAGCAATGGTGACGTAGCCTGCGATTCGTATCATAAATATAAAGAAGATGTCCAGTTAATTAGCGATATAGCTGTACGTATTTAATTAATTTCAATCTTTCGATTAAATAAATAGTGAATCATAAAAGAATTATCATTACTTTTAGGCCGACTTTTATCGATTCTCACTTAGCTGGTCTCGAATCTTGCCAAACGGTTTTTCTAACGTAGTGAACGAAGAAGGACTTAATTATTATAAAAATCTTATCGACGAACTACTTGCAAAGGGTATTCAACCACATGTTACAATGTATCATTGGGATCTTCCGGAAAATTTGGAAAAATTAGGTGGTTGGACTAATGAATTAATCATCGAATATTTTGTTGATTATGCAAGGATCGTTTTCAAAGAGCTTGGTCCTAAAGTAAAAGTTTTCTATACCGTAAATGAACCAGCTATATTATGTGAAGAAGGTTACGGCTCAACTATGAAAGCTCCAGGTAAGTCTAAAATATAATCAAATTAAAATTCGTACACATTATACATCTATATATCAAATGCATGATAAAATTAAACGTTAAACATTATTTGAATGATGGTTTCAGGGAAAAATTTAACCGAAATTGGATCTTATTTATGCATGCATAATATACTGAAAGCGCACGCCAAGGTATATCATATGTACGACAAAGAATTCAGATCTGAACAAAAAGGATTGATCTCTATCGTCGTATCGTGTTCCGCATACTTCGCCAAGGATGAAAATGATTTGGAAGCGGAGGAGATAGCCTATCAATTTATTTGCGGATGGTTAAGTCATCCAATTTATTCGAAAACCGGTGATTATCCAGAAATTATGAAGAATCGTATAGCAGAAAATAGTAGGATTCAAGGATATTCCAAATCAAAATTGCCCGAATTCACACCAGAATGGATTGAATATATACAGTAGATATGTATTTTAACTAATAAATGATATTACAATAATTTAATACTATTGGGTTGGCAACTAAGTAATTGCGGATGTTGTCGTTTCCTTCTTATTTGAAATCCGGCAATCACTTAGTTGCCAATCCAATATTATACTTACGATAATACAAGTTTCTATATATTTTTTAACACAGAGGAACTTCAGACTTCTTCGCCTTAAATCATTACACTTCTAATCTGGTCGAAATTGTACCAAAGGGACCGAACGATCCTTGGTACGCAGAGAGCGGAGTTAAATTTAGCTACGATCCAAAATGGCCATCCTCTGGATCATCGTGGTTAAAGGTCAACTTTAAACAGTATTTTTATAAACACTACTTCGTAATTCTAATTTATTATTACAAAGAGATTTTCTTTCGATCGGATTATCTGTTCAAGCGAATACATCTAACGATTTCTTTTTTGGTTTTCTTCTTTCTCACCTTTTCTTTTGCTTTATTTTAAATATATATCTCCCGCAATTAAGTATAACGATTGCTCGAAGTCTCTTCTTATAAATAATTTACACAGTACATAATTCATGCATAATGTTTAATCCGTGGAAGAACGCTCAAAGCTTGATTATGATTGCATGCTTATCATAAACACAGTTTCCACGATATAAACTTATACAAACCTATGCTCACAATCGATTTTGTGTTAAACAATGCGAGAATGTTCCATGAAAAGAAAATTGATATCGGAAGGATATACTGGAAAATCAATGAAATATTTTTTAATATATACATTTATTCTCGAACCTGATCATTTTTATTACGTGGTTTTTCATGCCACGATACTGATAGCTTTTTCTTTATAAATTTATTGAATATTTAATTTTCTCTTCGATAAAATAAAAATAAAAATAATCGGATATCATACTTCAAAAATACCTAACGTTTTGTTAATATTTTCTATTAGCTTAAGATTTTAATGAATACTACAATAAAACTTTATTGATTTCTACCATTAATCGAATAAACAACTACTAATCTTTTAAAAATTATATTATAATTAAATAAACTTATGAAACATACTGAACTAAACGTAATTGAATATTATGTAGTATCATGAATGTACAATACTAAAAATTTAAAATTTTGTTTTTAGATCGTTCCTGAGGGATTTAGAAAGATTCTTAATGTAATAAAAAATAAATACAATAATCCACCGGTTATTATTACGGAAAATGGTGTTTCCGACGATGGTACTTTGATGGATAAAATAAGAATTAATTATTTTTCTGAATATCTTAAGGCTATGCTGCAAGCTATATATGAAGATGGTTGTAACATTAAAGGTTATACAGCTTGGAGTTTGCTAGACAACTTTGAATGGGAAAATGGCTACCTGTAATATTTATTACTAATTTAAAACTAAAAATAAAAGTTATCTACTTTTAGTATTTTTTCAAATATGTTTGCTGACGATACTTTTTCGTTCCAGTGAAAAATTCGGTCTTGTCCAAGTTGATTTTGCATCTCCTAACAGAACGAGAACTCCCAAAATGTCAATGGAATGGTACAAAAATGTAATCAAACAACGGAAAATAATTAATTTTATACCAAATACAAACAAATACAATATTGTATTTGCTCGTTAAAGGAAAATATGTATTTTCTTATGAATTGTCACTATAATATGCGTTTGATTTTATTCATATATATAAAATTGAAAATATTGTACTTCAAAAAAAAAATGGTTTGTACATAGGTACAGAATCTTATATATTTGTTACATAATAAAATATTGACTTATCTTATTACTTATTATGCTTATATACTTATATTATTTATTAATAAAACTTAATGACATGCTATGTATATTTCATTAAACCATAATAATATCTCTGAAGTATTTTTCTTTAAAATTCCAAGTTATTATAATTTGGAGAAATCAAATTTAATTTGCCGATAATAATTTAGAATGTTGTATATATGCATATGTTTCACATGATTTATTTCCCCTATTTAAGCATCAGTATACATCTTTATGCGTGATTGATCGTTAAAGATAAAATCTGTCGTTAAAGAATACTCAATCAGCTCGATGAGAAATTTTAGCGAACATAAATTAGAATTTTAAGACAATCTTAATATATCATTGATATATTATTTAGTGTATTCAGTCATTTATAAATAAATTAGTACATATCAGATGGTTTACATGAGTGTTCATTTATCGATACTATTGTCTTTATTCAAGTATATTAT